ACAGGAAACTAGATTCCATATCTCGTATTAACCTTTAATGGAAAAGAATCTGAAAAAAATCATGTGTATAACTGGGTCACTTTGCTGTACTCCTGAAACTAGCACAATATTGTCAATCAGCTACACTTCAATTTTAAAAAAAGGGAGTGGAACTAACAATAACTGAACCAAAGTAAGTGGTCAGGCAGCCTGGGCCCGTAATCCCCTCCTCCGAGCAGGCCACCTGGGTGTCTCAGTCTGTCTCAGGTCTCACCTCAGACCCTGCGGGAAACGCCGCGGGTGTCTCAGTGCTGCGCACAGGAAGCCAGGACCTGCCTCCTCACTTCCGTGCCCTGGGTCTCCAGGTGTCTCAGGTGCTGGTTCTCCACCACAACCCTGATCGAGTCCTTGTTCAGCAAGAGGAGTTCTCACGTCTGAAGCTGGGGAGGTGAGCGGCGCCCGTTACACTAGGACCCCATCAGCCCCTTTGTTCTTTTTCCGTGAGCAGCTTTATTGAGGCGTGACTGACACCCCCCCCCAAGTGCGTGCATCGTTTACCCAATGCCGCCGATTCCGTGAGTTTGACGTGCTCTTACACTCGTGAGACCACCGCCACAGTCGGGGATAATTTGTCCTTTTTCCTCTCGCAACTTTCTTGAGATGTAACCAACACAGAGCAGTGTGTCTGTTTATGGTGAACAGCATGTTGATTTGACGCACTGACACGCCGCGGAACGATCACCACCGTGGCTCTCGCTAACGCCTCCACCGGCCACATGCTCACACTTCCCTTTTGTAGTGAGAACACTGAGGGGCTACTCTCTTAGCAACTTTTGAGCATATGATACAGTGTCATTAATTACAGTTGCCATGCTGTGCGTGAGATCCCCAGAACTTAATTCATCCTTTAACTGGAAGTTTGTACATTTTGACCAACATCTCCCTGTTTGCTAATGAGTTTTTCTACACTCCATCAGTCCATAAATGCGCGAGGGCCCTTTCTGTGCAGCCCAGGGCTCCAAGCTGGGTTCCCTTCTCAGGTCAGCTTCCTAGCTGGACGGCCTCATGCTGGCCACGTCACCTCCCCACTCTCACGTCCATCAGAGAGCTCACGATGTCTTCTCCTCGGGATGGTCACAAGGGCTAACAAACGCGATGCCTGTGACAGGCTCTGCACAGAGCTTGCTGTAGACAGGGAGGCATCAAAACGTGGGGCCCAATAAGAACCAGTATAATAACAGGAAAGAAAACAGGTGGATACTGGCCAGGGGCCACGGGACGTCGGCGGGGGGAGGCTCCTTCAAGGCATTTTGACGAAGTGTTGAGTTCCTGGGTTTTAAAAACCGTAAGGAGAGGGCGTACAGGGTGGTAGCTAAGGGAACTGATTCTGAAGCCACCAATTCTCGAGTTTAAATCTGTATTTCAGTTACATACCAGTTGTGTAAGCTTGTGCCCCAGTTTCCCCGTCTGTGGAATGGGGATACCTTCTTCTCAGGGTGGTTGTGAGTTATTCTGCTGGGGATCCGCAGATGGATTTATCTAGGGAGGAGTTTACAAAATGGACCTAGGGGGTCCCGGGGGAGCATTCTTCCTAAAGTTCACCAGCTGTGTGGTCTTAGACAAGTCACTCAGCCTCTCTGTTTCTCACTTTTTTTCAAAATTCAGGATAACACTACTTACCTCAAGAAATGCAGTGAACTATGCTAAGTGCCTGCTTAGCACATGGGCGGTCGGCCAGTGACCACTCAGGGAGTAAAGACAACTAGGAATTTCAGCTTTTTTGAGGAATCCCCATACTGTTTTCCATAGTGGCTGCACCCACTTACATTCCCAGCAAACAGTGCACTCGGATTCTGTTTTCTCCCACGCCCGCACATTTGTCTTTTGGATGCTAGCAATTCTAACAGGCGAGAGGTGGTACCTCACCGCGGTTGTGGTTTGGGTTTCTCCCGTGTTCAGTGATGTTGAGCACCTTTCCATGCACCTGCTGGCCATCTGTGTGTCTTCTTTGGAAAAATAACCTCACTCATATGTGGAATCTAAAAAATAACTCATAGAAAAAGCATCAGACTTACGGTTGTCAGAGGCGGGGGAGACTCACATCCTCTTTGCAGCTTTTAATCTCCTGTTCCTTTCCCATCCTAATGCCTTTCTCTAATTTCTTCCCGATTGCTAATTTAAATTTAAAATTAGTTACCACTGTCAATGGCCTGGATCCCCAAAGCCTGTTAAGGTGCAGAGTGGGGCAGACCAAGTGCTTTTTTCTTTCTGCTCTGGGAGATACTTGCAACGGGAAGGAGCCAGGAACTCTGCTTCCCTTCAGGGATGAGTTAAACTAGTTAAAATCGTTAATTAGAATTGCTCAGTTAGTCGGCCAGCACCTCCAAGACGATGTTAAGAAGTGGTGGTGTTAAGACGACCATATCCCGTCCTTGACCTCCGTGTTTCTGCTGGACTGATTTCACGGGGGGTTTCCTGGCACTGGGAGGTGAAACGGCCATCAGGTGTGGTTGCCTCTGTGACTTTCAGGCCTCGTGGGCCCTTCATCCCGCTCATGTTTCATTGTTCTCCAAGGCCTCTGGGATGGCAGGACAGGTACGCACATAAACGGACTTGGGCCCAAGTGTAAGGCGCCACTTCT